ATAAATAAATAAATAAATAAAAGAAGCTACAGTAGTGACATTAAACCTCATCAAATTACTGTTGTAATGTTATTTAGTTATCCTTCATGAGTGGGAAAAGGACATTAATTTCTGCTGGTGTGGCTGTAACTAGCTCCTCCCAAGCTCTACTTACAATATTGTAAACATTTTCCAACCAGTGTAAATATTTTCCAACCACTGCTCTACTGCTTGCTTGCAGTTTGCAAATCCATGGCTTCCAGGCATCAGTGAAGCTTGCCTAGTCCAATAACCAGAAAGTTGTTTCTCTATTATCTGTCCCCTTCTGTCAAGCGTTGTCTTACAAGCAAGAAAACACTCCTTGTTTGCTTAAAAGAGATCTGTGATCTCTATATGTACATCAGCATCAGTGCATGTGCAAAAGAGGATCACAGCCCATTTGATTCTTATCCAGTCTTAATTTCTTGCCTCTGAACTCTGACCAAAGAGAATGAGAACAGTCTTCTTCTTCCTCCTCCTTACTATCTATTTATTATCTGTTTTGTGTAACTAAAAATCAAGCAGCTCATTCACACTCTTGCTTCTTTTCAATACTAGTCAATCGTCTCACAGAGGTCATCCCACAGCTGCTGGATAAGCTGCGTATAGTAGAACAGAAGCAGCCGGCAAACAATGTCTCAGCCAGCATCCAGAGGGTCAGAGAACTCATAGCACAGACGAGGAGTGTAGCAAACAAGGTAATGGTGGTGGACAGGAAATTTCACTCACTTACAGTAAGAATGCCAAATGTCTTATCTGAAATGTCTCCTGCATCCAACTTTATTGTTGAGTTGGAGTTTCCTGACTCTGGGCACTAGAAAAAAATTAACACTGGAATCTGAGTGCTGACTGAGCCAAAATTATTCCCACTGCTTGCTGCTAAACAGTTCCTGAACTCCAACATAGCCCATACATATAGTAATATCTGAAACATTAGTAAACAACACAGATCAATATTCAGCATCATTACATCATCATGAAACTAATGCAGAAGCATGTTGGGATAGAGTTTTTGAAAAGTAGTTCAAAAGTGCAAAATGAAAACCAGCAGTGTTTTCCATCCACATTTATTTATTTAAAGATGGATAGCTCACTACAGTGCCCTCAGAGCAACTTACAACACATAAGGACTCTACATGACATGCATTTAATTGAATATCAATGATTTAAATAAATATTTTGGACATGGATGGCCTCACATTTATTATCACTTAAAACTGATGCAGCTGAATACATTAATGTCAGAAAAAGCAGAACACTTTTAAGCAAAACAAAATCAGTATATGATTTTAATGTCATAAATTTTGCTTGGCTTGAATCCAAGCTTCATGAATGGAAGAACTTTTGCTTGCAAGAAAGAACCAGCAGAAGCCCCTACTGGATAGTATTAATTTAATCTTAATTTCAATTTCTATCCTTTCTATCCTTGTCCCAGAGGGCCTCTCAGCCCTCCAGGTCCAGAGACCTCAGAGTGAAATCATCAAAATTTCTGCTCAAAGGAGTGTCCAGTTAATGGGCCTTGCTGAGGCATGTCTGGATTCAACATTCAATATGCTTTATATTTTAATAACTTTCATAATGTATTAATACTCCAAAAAACTTTTACTGGACATCCTGTGGAACTATGTATTCAAAGGAATGAGTGAATTTCATTTTAGCTTATTTTTATTTAAATCTTTTATCCTGAATATGTGACCCAAATACGAAGCATCATGCTGCCATTTTGGGGTCGCTGTTCCCAAAGAATTTTGCAAAAAGTTCCCGCTGATTACTGTCTCCAAAGGTAAACCTAACCTTTGACTTTTTGCATTTTCATTTCTAGGTTCAAGTGTCAATGTCATTTAATGGTCAATCAGCTGTTGAAGTCAATCCCCAAACAAATATGGAAGACTTAAAAGCTTTCACATCTTTGACTTTGTATATGATGCTTCACAAGGGCAATACACAGCGGACAGCACCTCAGGATCAGTTTATTCTTTATCTAGGAAGCAAAAACGTAAGATTTTCTTTTAGCAAGTACAGTTAGAAGTAAATGTGATTTTACAAATTGCACCGTTTGGGCTTTCTCCTCCCCTCAGCACAGCTTTATTTCCAAATTCATAGTACTACAGAATATGAGTGAATTTGGACATCCTATGCTCAGTTTTATTTTCTTCCTCCTACTGTTCCCATTCTTCTTGCCACTGCACAGTCTCTTCAAATATGAAGTCATGCCATTTGCTGCTGTGTCATATCAAGTGCAATGATGCAACCACATTTTCCAGTCAACTCTCAATGAGCATGAAATGTATTGATCAAATTAATATATTTTAGCTTTCAAGGTTCACTCTTGATCCACACTTGAATGCCAACCATATATATTTTCTAGTTTAGAGATTTTCAAGAGTCAGAGTTTTCGTTTGCTTGCTTGCTGTAAGAGTACTGCAATTGTTTGTCAGACTACATCCTTCTTGATTGACATCAAAAATGCCTTTAGACATCACCAGAAGGAAATATTCTAAAGATGATACTGCAAATGCTCATATGGTAGCTATAATGAAATGAACTGGTAGCAATAATGCCACCTTGCATTTAAAATAAGAACCCCATCCTAAGGGGCGGGGGGAAACTTCTGCCACCCTGCATTTAAGGTAAGACCACAAGTCTTTTAGAATTCTACACACACATATACAAACACAGAGAAGGTCCTTGGATCTCTTCTTGTCCATGCTTTTATGGCAGATTAATAATCCCAGCAAAGTGGAAAGTATCTGTGGCAAACCTTTCACTCAGACCAAATGTACTGAATCGTCTCCCAAAAGTTGATGCAAGTATGTGTCCTCTAAGACCACAGTATATTTTTTTTCCTTCCAAAAAATTGGTATTATCTATACACACATTTAATCAATCAATTTAAGAGACGAATAAACTAAGGCTCATATCATTCATTTGCCAAGACTTCAGCTACATGTCTTGGACTATATAATTTACATGCCATTTCCATTATTGTGGCAGCAGCCAAGCCAAAGCCTATGGACGGGCATCCTCACTCTGGAATGAGCTTTAAAATCAGCAGAATCTTGCCAGCATTAAAAGCAAGCATTTGGGTCTTCAATTTCATATTCCCTGGTTATTGTGTTTTTAGAAAACTTTGCTAACCTGTGTGTACATGGAGACATTTCTACATTGTGGAGACTTGAAATACACATTATAATTGTGGCAATACTGGGATTTTCAGAGTGTTCCAGTTAGAAGCCACAAGGCCAATAATAACATATCCCTGGTTCTAGCATCTTTTGCTATGGCATGCCAGCAGGAATTATCCCCCTTGCAGCTACGTAAGAATATTGACCTATTGCTGTGTTTGGCTAATACTGCATCATGCAGGAGAAGCTTAGCTTTTTGATTAATGTAGGCTAACGAGCTCTGAAATGTGGTTGCTAGGATATAATATGGGAAGACCGAGCTCTGAAATGTGGTTGCTAGGATATACGCAATATGGGAAGATAAACCACAGTTCTACCCTAAACACAGCAGCCTTCTCTAATTTTTGAAGCTAAACAGAAGCTGATTTTAGAGCTTCAGAGAATATCAAGGATATCCATGTAGAGCTAGCAAATAATCCTGCCTGAATCCTGGAGAGCTGCTGCAAGTCAGAATAGTAGGCTACATGGCCCAATGGTCTGAGTGAAAAGGGGGCAGTTTGCTAGATAAAATATCATTATCATTCAGGAAGAGAACATAACATTTGTCCCTTTCCTAAGGACACTAGAAGAAAGCAGCTACTCTTTTCTTATTCTAATGTAGATGATTCTAATGGATCAATTTTATTAAGCTTTTTTTCCTAACCCAGGCTTCCATCAAGAAGCTCAAAGCAACATTTCAAGTTCTCCCTCTCTTATTTTTCAAACAGCGCTATGAGACAAATTAACCTGAATAAAGAGAGTGAGTAGCCTGGCCTCAGTTTCAGCTGAAGAGTTTCATGGTTGAATGAGGACCAGAACCTAGTTTTCCCTGGTCTGCATCCAGTCCTCTAAGAACTACACCAAGCTTTCTATCTGGATCAGAATGGTCTTCTTTTGTAGATTTATTCACTCTCATGTCTTTACAGAGAAGAACGATCCATCTCTATGTATCCTCCTTTGAACTCTGTCTCCTTGCGCTGGGCCTCTTCAAACTCCAACGGATGCTGAACTACCAGTATGATAGAGTACTTTCAATATCAGTTTTTGGGCTTGGTAACCCAAATATAAAATATAATCTTGAAAATCTGATCACAACAGGGAGCAAGTCCAAATGAATTCTGACAATTTTTTAAATAAGCATCCGTTGGAATCACACCAGATGTTTGAACGATGAGTGATATGTCTGAATGTCACAGAAAGTAGCCCCTCCTTTTGTGATTACCCACTGTTTCATTTTAAGTCATTATAATGGATATTTAACCTTTCTAAATATTTAATGTTGATTTAATAAAGAATATATACCTTGAACTTGTCACAGAATTTTGCAAAAATTGAAGCAGTTTTGAATTATGAGTATCTAATTTTACTATGGTGAAGATCGTGTTGCTTAGCATAGTAAGCCATGCTGGAGTATGGGCCCATTGAATCAGAGGGAATTTGGTGTGTCGACTCCTCTGTAACTTCCACTGATTCAAATGAATGTACTCTAATTGTGACTTACTATGGTAAAGTAACAGAAAATGGAAATTATGGAGGAGCTGATTCATCAAGTGGCTATAGTTCAATGGGTCTATCCTAGTGCAATTTACTATGCTAAGCAACAAAATTTTTCCAGTGTGTATAAATGCATCCAAAGAAAGAACGTGGTCAAGGAAAGTAGATGACACACATCACATCCTAGAGCAACTGAATCATATTTGGAAGGACATTCACTAAGCTATGAAAGGAAAGAAGCAATGCTTCTCTAAAGTCATGCCACCTACTTTCAATTTCTAATAAGTTCTTCTTCTTCTTTTTTGAAGGGCTTTGAAAACATTCCTGGCAAATCATTAGAGGGCCCTTTAAAGATTTATTTATTTATTTATTCAATTTATATACCACCTATATAGCCAATTGCTACTCTGGGCGGTGTACAACAAAAACATAAAACATACTGTAAATTATATAATTGCTACAAACACTAAACAGTAGCAAAATAACTGATTAAACATTTTAATGTATTAATCTAGGCAAGTGATTGATTAAATGTGACAAATCTACAAATGAATGTGGTCTTGAAGTTTTTTATATCATATGTTTTTTTAATTAGGTAGACAATTGATGGAATGCTACAGAGATCGAAGTGCCTTACAGTGTTTTTCACTTTCATGAACTTTTCCACCAAAGGGGATACTGACGATCAGGTTACCAGTAAGGTATAGCAATTATCTAAGGTGGTGGTGTCTAGAATATCCCACATTCTACTCCCACAGCCAGGCAGGCTTTAGCTCCCCCATTCCAGGTTCTCCTTTTCCATCTGGATTAAGTCCTACCAACATCCCTTTATCTTACTCTTTCATGTCAGGAATCTAGAAGGCTTACCTGTACAATTACATTGTAATTATTATTTGTTTAGCATGTATTAGCTATTTTGACATGATAATATATTCTTGGTTCCGGCTTTAGACAAAGAATTATCTGGGTCTTGCAATTAAGAGTGACAACCTGGTTTACATTTATAATCTGGGCGGTGGCGATGTGGAGATACCATTGGATTCCAAGCCAATCAGCTCCTGGCCTGCTTACTTCAGCCTTGTTAAAATAGAGAGGTAATGTTTCCTGCATCTACTATGTATGCAATAGATGGGCTGAATGAAATTGGAAGAAAAATAAGCCTGTTAATTTATCAACAGGCTTTACCTGCTCATTATCATTAGCACTGCTTGCTTAAATGTCATCATTGTTTAATTATCAACAGTACTGGTTGTTTCAATTCAATGAATGTAAAAATTCCCTGAAGTTCCTATTTTTTTAAATTGGTGCATATACAGGAGAGAGCTTTCTCCTGTGTTACTCTCAGAATGCGCAATGTACTCGTCTCAGAGTTAAGATCAGTTCTCTTTCTTGGTGCATTCAAGAAAGTAGGAAGGGGAGAATCTTCCAACAAGCTTTTTCAGAGATTTTACTAATTTTTATGAAGACTATAATGGCTTTAATGATTGTGATGATGTTAATGGCTGTATTGCCTCATTTGTTTTTTATTTGCCTAATTTATTTTTAATGATGTTTGTTGGCTGTCTTGAGCACCAGTACGTTTTGATGGAAAAGCTGGGATTTCACAAACCATTTCATTTTTTAAAAATTATTTCTATATCCATAAATAATTTTAAATTCTTAGTTCTTGTTGAAATGATTAAACTGTTTGGTCATATTCAATAATCCAGCGGGATAGGTGGCCACAAGTTCCATTTCTCATTCACCTCTTCTTTGATAGGATTGGGAAGCATGGCAAAGTTTTCCTAACTGTTCCAAGTCTCAGTAGCACAGCTGAAGAAAAGTTCATCAAAAAAGGAGAAGTTCCTGGTGATGACTCTTTATTGGACCTGGAACCTAAAAACACAGTCTTCTATGTTGGCGGAGTGCCTCCAGATTTCAAGGTAAAGTAATTGTTCCATATATTGCCCTACTCTATCAATGCTCTATATAATTTAAGAATGGATTAACTATTATGCTGAAATTTTTGTCTTGCATGTTTTGCAAAGAGAATAGGATCCCTCACCCAATCCTAATATTTCTTAAGACAGCCCATATTTCTTAAAGGGAGCTGTGGGGATCATACTTACTTAGTCCAGCTCTGTGGACATTGCCTTCTACAGTTTCCCTGGATTAGAGCAGGACGTCAATTGATAACCAAGACATGGTTGAAGAAGGAATTATAATGGTTCATAGGGGAATCAACTGACTGGGAATCATTTGAAGAACATCACCATAGCAAATATATTAAGAAAAAGCTATGTGGAGGAAAGACAATTTACACGGGAATTCAGAGACACTGGACACAATTTCAGAGAGGGAAATCTTGTGATAAAGGGAAGTTTGAGGGACACAAATTCAGAGTACAAAGGTGGCAAACAAGTGTTCACAGCAATGAAATATGCTTAGATTACTTAAGGAAAAAGTAAGATGAACAAAAAGAGATTAAGAAAAATATATATTTGGGGCAGAGTAATGAAATCTTATGAGAGATGCAACTGACCAAAAAATAAACAAATCAGGAATTGGGAAGGGAAAAAACAAGTTCTATAGAGAGAGAGATGGCGGTGGTTATGAGAATGTGGCAAGACTTGCAGCATTGAACAGAATTGCCCAAGGTTACCTTGCATGACACCCTTTTGCAGATTTGCCCCCTGTCTCTGACATTAAGAATTTGACCCTGGCTCTTGCTGTCTTGGTTCGAATAGTGTTTCTTCTGGTTCCTTCTCTCTGTAGCTTCCTCCCAGCTTGGACCTCCCTGGCTTTGTTGGCTGCTTGGAACTTGCTACATTGAATGACGATGTCATCAGTTTGTATAATTTCAAAAATATCTACAACATGACCAAATCAGTACCCTGTGCCAGGTAGAGTGAACTACACTTCATTTTAATTTTTGAGATGAAAGACAGTGCACCTTTGATCAGTCTCATGGATGCCTTCAACATGTCTTTAATGGTTTGAATTTCATATGCATGGGGAACATAATGGTTAAAAGGGGATATGATTTAATTTCAGACTTTTTAGTTCTGCTATTCTGTGATTAATATGAATGCATATTATTCCCCTTGCTTGTGAACAAACTGCTGAGTGTAATAAGTGCGCTTACTTATTATTACAGATTCTACTGCAGAAACTGTCCAAGGCCACTGACAATTGTTTACATAAATGCTGTGTTTCTTATATTTTTATTTGTATTTGTGTGTGTGTGTGTGTGTGTGTGTGTGTGTGTGTGTGTGTGTGTGTGTGTGTGTGTGTGTGTGTGTGTGTGTGTGTAAAAAACCACACCCTGAAATCGTTGTTACATGCTGTCAAGACAGCTTTGATTTATGGCAACCCTATGAATGAGTTCTCTCCAAAATGCCCAGTCCTCAACAGCCCTGCTCAACTCTTGTAAACTCAAGCCTCTGGTTCCTTTAGGAAGTCAAGCCACCTCATATTTGGTCTTCCTCTTTTCCTGCTGCCTTCCACCTTTCCCAGCATTCTTGTCTTTTCCAGAGAATCCTGCCTTCACATGGGCCAAAGGAGGCCAGCCTCAGTTTCAACATTTTTGCTTCCAGAGATGGTTCAGGATTGATTTGATCTAGGACCCACTTGTCTGTCTTTCTCGCAGTCCAGGCTATATGCAAAACTCCCCTCCAGCACCATATTTCAAAAGAATCAATTTTGTTCCTGTCCACTCTCTTTACTGTCAAGCTTTCACGCCTGTACATGGAGATTGGAAATACAAACGTGTGGATGGGTCTTGGCCTTGGTCTCCAGTGCCACATCCTTACACTTGATGATCTTTTCTAATTCCTTTATTGCTGCCCTTCCAAGTCTCAGTCTTCTGATCTCTTTGCTTCTGTCTCCCTCTAGACTGACGATTGAACCAAGGTACACCAGTCTTCTGATCTCTTTGCTTCTGTCTCCATCTATATTGATGATTGAACCAAGGTACACATCCTTCTCTATTTCAATTTCTTCATTGTCAACATTAAAGTTCTCTAGTCCTCCGGTGGTCAAAACTGTAATGTTAACAGTGAAGAAGTTTAAATAGTTAAAGTGTGTCACTGGAGACCAAGATCATCTTTATTGTTTTTAACACAAAAGGCAAAAAGTTCTAAAAAGTTTCAAAGAAGCAATTGGAGCAACATACAGTTCAAGACAAAGCTAAGACAATTCAAGAGAACATACCAGAAAACAACAAAGCTAAACTGATCTACATGATAGTCATATATTAGTATAGGGTCAACATAGTTCTGAAGCATACATAGAGTGCATCTTTCTAGACAACACAGGACAGCAGCTGAGCAGAGCTATCCCTGAGAGACAGGATAAGCCACCTAACAAGATTTCTTACCCTCTTTGTACATCAAACAACCCATTCCAGACCCTTCTAATCAACATTTGAATTCCGTCAAATGTTCACAAAGACAAGAGCACTTTCCCCTTCCCTTCATGTAGCTATAATTATCCCTCAATTAGTGTGTTGCCAGACAGGAAGCAGGCTGGCTTTTATGTCCTCTCTTGCGTATTTCTCCCTTTGTTACCGGGCAGACACCGACCTTCTCTGCCAGGTTTTTCCAGGCATTCATTAGGCCTGAATTTTCCTGATGGGTTCCATGTTTCTGCCTGATTTTTCAGTTTGTTCACAAACGTTTCCCATCCACAATAGCTCATTCATGCCTGCCAAATCACCATTTTGTCTTATGGGCATGAATTCTCCCATACCATTAGTTAGTAAGTTCGCTTCCTATCCAGTACTCTAGGATGTAGATGATCCATTGAGCATATTTGTGCAAAGATGCTGCCCCAAGCGGCAAAATGACTCTGTTTGTCAAGGCATGGCATTTTCTTCACCTAACTACAGTATCTTGTATTTACTGTATTTTGTATTATGTTTCGGCATTGGAAGGTAAATGCAGACTTAATTTCCAAGCTTTACTGTTACTGTAGGCATCCTTCAGTCTCGAGAGACTATGGTAATGTGCTCTGTATGGAGGACATGGAACAGTGTCTAGTGTGGCTGAGAAGGCCAATTTGAGAGTGACAATCTCTTCCACACTGAAGACAAATGCAATCTGTCCCCCGTCCAGCTCCCTGGTTTTGCTTGTTTCGGGACTGCCTATTTGCCTCGGCCTGCTGTACAAGTGTCTCTTCAAATTGGGAGAGGCCATGATGCACCGCTTGCCTCCAGGCTGAATGCTCAGACGTCAAGGTTTCCCATCTGTTGAGATCCATTCCTAAGGCCTTCAGATCCCGCTTGCAGATGTCCTTTTATCGCAGCTGTGGTCTCCCTCTGGGGCAGCTTCCCTGTACTAATTCTCCATACAGGAGATCTTTTGGAATCCAACCATCAGTCATTCTCACAACATGCCCAAGCCAACATAGAAACCACTGTTTCAGTAACGTATACATGCTAAAAATTCCAGCTCGTTCTAGGACTACTCTATTTGGAATTTTGTCCTGCCAGGTGATACCAAAAATGTGTCTGAGACAACGCATATGAAACGTATTCAGCTTCCTCTCCTGCCATGCACAAAGAGTCCAGGGCTCACTGCAATACAGGAGTATGCTCAGAACACAGGCTTTATAGATCTGGATCTTCGTATATGCTGTATGCTTCTTATTGAACCATACTCTCTTTGTGAGTCTTGAGGACATGGTAGCTGCTTTGCCAATGCATTTATCCAGCTTGACATCTAGGGAGAGAGTGTCAGAAATAGTTGAGCCAAGGTACACAAATTCATGAACAACCTCCAATTCTTGCGTGGAGATAGTAATAGAGGGAGGTGAGTCCACGCCCTGGCCCATGACTTGTGTTTTCTTCAGGCTGATTGTTAGTCCAAAGTCTTGGCAGGCCTTGCTAAAATGATTCATGAGTTGTTGGAGGGCTTCAGCAGAGTGGGCAACAATGGCTGCATCATCGGTGAAGAGGAAGTCCCGCAGGCATTTCAGTTGGACTTTGGTCTTTGTTCTCAATCTAGAGAGATTAAAGATCTAGTCTGGAGATAGACACCTTCTGTTCCAGTTCCAAAGGTCTGCTTCAGCATGACAGCAAAGAAGATCCCAAACAGGGTCGGCACGAGGGCACAGCCTTGTTTTACTCCGTTTCGCATGTCCAAGGGATCTGATGTTGAGCCATCAAAAACTACAGTGCCCTTCATATCCTCATGAAAGGACCTGATGATGTTAAGGAGTTGAGGTGGACATCCAATCTTGGGAAGTATTTTAAAAAGTCCATCCCTGCTAACCAAGTCGAAGGCCTTTGTGAGATCTATGAAGGCCACAAAGAGTGGCTGTTGTTGTTCCCTGCATTTCTCCTGCAACTGTCTGAGGGAAAATACCATGTCAGTGGTGGATCTATTAGCTCGAAATCCACACTGTGATTCTGGATAGACTGTCTGCAAGCACCTGGAGTCTCTTCAGCACAACATGGGCCAGCAGCTTCCCTACAACGCTGAGAAGAGAGATACCACGGTAGTTATTGCAGTCGCCCCGTCGCCTTTTTTCGTATACAATGTGACGATGTTTGCATCCTTCATGTCCTTGCATCCTTCCCTCCAGCAAAGACAAAAGACTTCATACAGCTCGGTGGTGATGATCTCTTTACAGCACTTTACAGCTTTACTAATAAGATACTTATCTTTGAAGGAAACTGTGTTGTGGGAGAAGAAAGCAGATTAATCATGGAAAAAATTTCATTTATTTAATGTCTGATCCTGATAGCTCCGTCTACAGAAATGATATTGCATATTACATTGTACAGTATTCCCCAAAATGGAAAGGGGATTTTTTTAAATTGGCAGCAATCTGCCATTGCCAATGACATCACTACTGTTGCAAAGATGAAACTACATGCTGGGTTATAGCCTGTTAAATCTTATTTTACAAATGTATTTCTATAAGGCTTCATTATCAGATATCTATTTCTGGGCTTCCCCAAATTCACACATTTACACATTAGCACATCAAAACAGGGAAGCAAAGATAACATAAATACTTCCAGTAAGCAGTATACTGTCCATACTGGTATCTAGCACATCAAAACAGGGAAGCAAAGATAATATAAATACTTCCAGTAAGCAGTATACATACTGGTATTTAACTATACAGACAATGAATGCTAGACTGGATAATAAATAGTGGCATGGTGTTTAGGCCAACTACCTCATTTTCTGATTTTGCCTTTCAATCTTGCTTCCATAATTATACCTCCAGGGCAGAGTATGTACGTAGGCCTCCTGATTCAAGTGTTTTGATTTGTATTTGCTTCTATTCTTCTTCCCATTAGGGATAAGCTGGCCTTTACACAGAGCCGGGCTGTAAACTATTTCTTTGATGGTTCTGGCTATGCTTTAGTGAGGCATATTGAGAGAAGAGGGAAGTTTGGTATGGTGACGCGTTTTGATATAGAAGTTCGAACACCAACAGATGATGGACTTCTCCTTTTGATGGTTAACGGAGTAAGTAAAAAAAGAAAATTTCTGATCTTGCTATTCATTTCGCAGTATTTGCTCTGCTATAAAGTAAAATAAATGATTTAAATTCTGCCTTTGAAGGAAACACCTATTGACTGTATGTTTGACACTAGTTTGGAAAGCTAGATATTCTGATATAATACGTTGTACAAACCCATTTCTGTTTGGGTAAAGGAAATCCAACATAGGGTGAATCTGAAACTACTAGATTTGAGAAACAAGAATTCAGTTTATTCTCTGATTTATTTTACCACACAAAAACTAAAACTCTGTAGCATGCACTCCTCACACAACCACTATAAATTTTGTGCAAATATTTTGCTTAACCACTTTTCTACTAGTTTCACTGTATATCCATCCTGGCCTCTATGTTAATGATTCTTAGTACAACCTCTGACTTTCTTTACCATGTAGGGCAGAGATAACATCCCCCAAAGTGCCTGACACAAGATGTAGTACCCTGAATTCTACTGTAGCTCCTATATCTAATATCATAACATTATGGAGGATCAAATGTCAAGAGCAGATTTTGGTGTCTGCAGTGGGAAGGAGTGGGGGGAAGGAAGCCCACTGTACACAAATGATTCAACTTTTGCTTCTTTTAAATATACTAATAACTCTTAGGTTCATATATTGTTGAATAATTTTATAAAGCCCTATTATATTTTGTAAAAGCTCTACAATATTAATTGATGTGATTAAATTATTGATTTGTTTAAAATATTTATATGTTACCTTTAAGAGGTAGTCATCTTTGAGACAGCTTCTACAATTTGATATAAACACAATTCACAGTGATGCAATAATAAATATAGAAATAATATATAATGATCCAGAGCACTGACACCTTTTCCACCAAGGAAGAGACTTCTGTGTTAATGAATAAGGAAGAGAACTGTGTTGTAGAAAACTGTTATATGGCTTCCCGTTTCTCACAATTTGGTTTATATGGAAGACTCCAAGAAACAGCTTCCTGTGTTTGAAGGTCATGTTGCTGTCCTCAGATTCCGAAGACTCCCACAAGGAGGATACCACCAGGCTACATCCATTTTCATGTTGTCATTGCTCAAAGCTGCTGAAATAGACCAAGACCTTTTTGAGCAAGACCTCTATTAGCTCATCAGGACAAGAAAACAAATGCCTATACACAAGACGAAAGGGGATTTTGCTGCTTGTTGGAGTGACATGTACACAAACCTGTCTTGCGTCCAGATTTCAGCTGCAGATTTCCACAAGACTGTTTTATTCCTGCTAAGAGAAGTGCTACACCCATTTGGCCAAAATCCAACTAGACTTGTCCCAAGACCTTTGTGTGAACCAAATCCATAGTGTGTGTCCTGTGGCCCAGGCCTTATAGGGCCCAACCACACTTATCCCTTATTATAAGATGATGTGTGTACTGAAATGGAATGCACAATCCAATACCACCTAAAAGCTTAAACTTATTGGTCTTAAAAAACTTAATAAGTTTAATAAGCTTAAACTTATTAAAACCCCAATTAATATTTGAAAAACGAAAACAACTGGAGAAAGACTATGGCCAAAATCCTGTTGCTTTAGCATAGTAAAGCACACTAGAGTATGCCCACTGAATCAACGGGAATTTGGTGAGTGAACTTCTCTGTATGTTCCATAGATTCAAATGGGTCTATTCTAATTGCAATATGTTCGCATAGTAAGTCACAGTTAAGAGTAGGCCTATTTTAATCAATGGAATTTATGGAGGAGTTGGCTCACTAAATCCCTGTTGATCAAATCGGCCTATTCTAGTGTGATTTACAACACCAACTATACAACAGGGTTCTGGCCATTAAAATCTATGTACCCTGAAGTAAAACCAGGTACTTCAAGCTGATTCTAAAAGATTATCATATCCATTTTTGAATTTATCTTAAGCAAGATAGCCCAGCCATAACATGTATCCAATATTACTTTGGAGAGGCATTATGGAACAAAGTGTCCTGCTGAAAGTTAGCCTGTACTTGTCTTTCATATTTTAGTTGGCACCGTGCTTCACAACTGCAACACAAATCCTTTCAGGAATGTCTTTCTGTTATTTTGCATTGTGCAGAGTATGTTCTTCAGCTTAGAGATGCAGAATGGATACCTGTATCTACAGTATGATTTTGGCTTCAGCAATGGCCCTGTGATTCTAGAAGATTCTATGAAGAAGGCTCTAGTTAATGATGCAAAATTCCATGAGGTATGGTGGTACTGACTTTTTTTAAATCGTTGCCATTGCCCTATTTTAAATGATAATCCATGTTATTAATGGCATTCTTGCTAGCTACTTTACATCCTGGTATCACTAGAAAGGAAAAATATAAATTGATTTTAAAAACTTGCAGTGAACAAATTTGTTGGCAAATAAGTATAGTATGTTATATAATCAAACAAAAATGGAACCCTTTTATCCAGTGTTGTGTTATTTCTGATTTACCTAGGTAACATGTGGTAATGCCATGAAATTGGGGTGTTTAAAATAACAATATTTACTGAAGAAAAGCTGACTGGGTCTTTGTAACTAATTTTTATTAGTAGAGGTAGAATTGTGTAACACTTGATCTTACAAAGAAGTATTCCAAGAATGTAATCTTTTTAATGCTTTTATGTTTAGAATAAAACTATAATAATAATTAATTGTTTTGCTGAATATGAGCAGCATCCCCACAGGGTTTGATAGTCAACCGGAGTATCATATTGATCCACTCATTTGCCCATTTCATAATTGTTCTACAGACTGTTTCTGGCCTACACTCTGTTCTATTTGCCTTGCAGTTTAACTGGAAGAATGTCTCCAAGCAAAATTAATTCCACAGTCGTAAATGCCAAGTTTATGCAACATATAACACTTTAATGGGGAAATAGCTTGATTTTTCCAAGCCTACTTCCAAATGCTGAAACTTCACTTCACTCCTGCTTACATTACCAGGAGTACAAATATCCTCTGAATCCCCTGGACACGGCCTTGCTGGCCTCTTCCTCCATCACTTACTTGGTGTGGCGGCTGCAGAAATTACAATGAAGTCACTGGGAGTGGGTGGGTGGGTGGTCTGAGAGGCTTCCTTCCTAGGTGCCAAGAACCTTGGCTCCCGAGATGCCAAGAATCCTAGGAAATTCTGAAAAAGCCAAGAGAACAAGGCTCCCTTACATCTGGGACACTTCTGTTCCCTGCAATGAGAAACCAGTTCAAGAGACAAGAGAAAAAGGAATGTCAGGGACACTCAGAAATAGGCACTTAAGATTTCCCTCCTGGGACATTTCAATGTCTCCCCTTCCCCAGCAAACTACGGAACCTTCCAATGTCCCAGGTGTGTTTGGGGGGGGGACATTCAGACCAAAATAACTTTGTGTTTTTTTCAGTATCTTGGAGCCTCCAGGAGGGAAAGGATTTGCTTTAAGGTAGTGGGAGATTGGGTTTACTCCAAAATCCAAAGAATCAAACCCAGAAGTAGCCAGCTAGACTTTTTTTTAATTTGATTTTTGTTTGCTTTTTCATTTTCCGGTTATTTCCAAACCTAAGGCAAAATTTGCCCCCAGTTTGTCAAAATTGCCCACATCTGCTCTACTTGCTGCCATTTTGTGGTGTAGCTGCCTAGTCAAGTAGGTGAGAGGAGAGAGTAGTTCACCAAAGCAGCAAAGTATTCCTATGACCTGAAGTACATCTGCTACTTTAAATCCTTTGTTACTGAAAGATGCAAGGACTAGGAACTGAATCTCAGGGATCTTGGGACTGGAGAGGAGGTTTCTGCATGCAGCCTGTCACTATCTAAGGGCCCTTCACATGCCACATTTGAAAACAATAGCTGATAAACAGTGGACTATTAAGTTTCTCTCTGCTTCTTAAAAGATCCTTTTATTTTGCAGACTGTCAATCAAATATTGTAAAATACTATTGCGCTCCTAAGAAAATTGTATTATATAAAATATATTTATCATTATTTATTATGCAGATTGTATGGTTTTTATTAGTGGCCTATAAAAGTATCATATACTCCTCTATTTGCATTTTGTTGCATATACACTGTACTATACCGTGGCTTTTAACCTGTTTTTCCCCTTGTTTCAGATATCAGTTATATACCACAATTCCAGGAAAATGATCTTGGTGGTGGATAGGAGTAAAATATATTTATCATTATTTATTATGCAGATTGTATGGTTTTTATTAGTGGCCTATAAAAGTATCATATACTCCTCTATTTGCATTTTGTTGCATATACACTGTACTATACCGTGGCTTTTAACCTGTTTTTCCCCTTGTTTCAGATATCAGTTATATACCACAATTCCAGGAAAATGATCTTGGTGGTGGATAGGAGACACGTAAAAAGCGTGGAAAATGAAAAGAAAAGCATGCCATTTACCGATATCTATATAGGAGGGGCTCCTGCTGAGATTTTAAAATCTAGGTCAGTGATACAATCACTATTAAATATTAAGTAATTTCTCATGGTATAATCACACAGATCTATGGTACCCACACAATTACAACTTTTAAACCTATGAGTTTTTAAAATATCAACCAGGAAAATGTTTTCCCTTAGACAGACATGTTGGCACAATGAATGCACTAATGGCAGCCATTCTTTGTGGCAAATGTGCTAAGTGGCAAGTTATGAGTGGGCGTTGTTCTTATGAGCAGCACAGTACCTTGGAGTGATTTTGCTTCTGCCCCAAATAGGGGCCAAGCATCTGGGCAGTGCTGTAAAACTAGGGGAAGGTGACTAGGTCCTTCTGCTCCTATCTAAGGTATGCCATGAACTTACTCTAGCTGTTCTGCTTGTGTTAGATGTGTGATTTATTGGCCATCTATGTTTCTCAGGTATAATAATCAGGAATTGCTAGAGGTACTGAGCTATTGGCAATTCCTAAAGCTATATGGGGAAAGATTAGTACTTTACTATTGGGGATGACTCTGGCCATACTATTAGGCAGACAGCAGTGGCTAGTTCAGTTGGAGTGTTATGAAAAAGCAAGAAAAGGAAGGGCACAATATGTTATACTGGCAATAGCTGGAAGATAGCTTTTGTCACTTTAAGGCAGCAAATCTCAAAAATGCTTCTCAGGGAGTACAAACAAATAACAATTCACTGAGTGTCTAATAACATGTTGCCTTTTCATGTCAACTGGTACCAGTGCTGTATCTCCCACTGAACTAAGTAAAAGAAACATGTGCTGCTAGAGATTGGTTTCTGACTTATGTCAGTGTATACCACTGTTTTGTCCATTATTACAGCTGTGAACATATGTAGTACCAGGTTGTGAAACATCCTCTGAATATATGTGCTTTCTCCACAGTGGTGTTGCCTCACATCTGGTTGTCAGCACAGGCTTCAGGGGCTGCATGAAGGGATTTCAGTTTCAAAAGAAAGACTTCAACTTATTAGAGGAGCCTGGAACTCTAGGAATTGGCTATGGCTGCCCAGAAGAATCCCTTGTAAGTACAGGATGATCCTAAGAGAACGAACGCATCCTCTGGTTGCTAACGATTTCTCGATACATATTTTCATTGTATATGCTCAATTATTTCCCCCTTTTTTGTGCTAAATCTCAGCACAAGGTAGCATTTGGTGTATTTCTCATTAGCTTGTTATACTTAGACAATGAGAAAATATAATTTTCAGAGGGCAGAACATAAAATAATGTTCACTTACAGCAAAGACATGGGAAGTAGTGCTTGATGTACAATTGAATATAGAAATAAAGCTGAATGGAAAATCCATGTGGTTGAGTTAACACGCTATACATTCTATAGGCTGACTGCTTAATAAACCTTTCTAAGCTTCTCTTCTCTCTCTGTCCTTATAAATAATATCTTAAATGGACTATATTTCTTTTCTTTTAAAAAAAAAATCTGTTTTGCTAAATTGCCATTATTGCACTGACAATTAAATGTGAAATGTATTTCTGGATCCAGAATTTTAATATACTGGGTACCAATGTCAAAATGTCATATGGCCGTAACACAGACTGTATGTGTACAAAAGGGGTTGCAAACAAGCCACAAAGCAAAATACAGAACTGTGTATGAGAACCAAAGCAACCTTTTTCCTTTGCCATAACTTCAGTCTCACAGAATTCACTGGTAAAATTATATTTTTGAAGTCACGTGGTAAAATTCTATGATAAAATTGCTAGCAACTAGAGATGGGGATGAAGCACCAAAATGGCATTTCATCTTGGTTGATGAACCACGAACCACAAAGTCCCCAGGAAATCAACCACAGAGGTGCACGCTGAACACAGCCTCGTGGCTCACCCCCTTCCCACTGCCACTTATCTTGCCCAGCTGCCTCCTCCTGCTCCACAGTGGCTTCCACCAAAACAGAACGTAGATTGCTGTAACCATGGTTTTCGTTCCAGCAGCCTAGCTTTTGCTAGGAGCAGTGGGGAGGGCTTCCCTTTGGGCAAGCCTGATGGAGGTGATTCCCCCCACTGTCTTTGCAAAGACAGCAAGGTTGGGGGTTTGCTTGGGTTCGACTTCCCTTGTCTTTCTATGCCTGCTATCTTTGTCTTTGCAAAGACTGCGGGAGATATCACTCTTTCTATGCCCCCCGGGGTATAGATTGGGGAAGCTTTACTGAAGTGACCTCCCACCCCCACTGTTTACAAAGATCTTTTTCGGATAGACCAAGGGACAGCTCAATTCAGGAAGCAGTGATACTGTGGCAACTATATCCATTTCAGCAGTATTTATACTACAGTCCCAATAAAATAAATGGAGAATATACAAAAAGAGTATTCGGTGAATTGTGCACTGAGTGCCAGACATGTATTTGTTATAGCATAATGAGAATATAGACCTTTGGGGATATGACAACTAACTATTTATATCCCGCCTATCTGGTCAATATAGCATAATGAGAATATAGACCTTTAGGAATATGACAACTAAAATAGCTGAAACCTACAGATTTTCTTTTCCTATTACTTTTACATTGGAACCACTGTCTGAATGCAGTCTTAAGCCTGATGAGGGTAAACAGACCGAAGCTGAAACCTGGTCAGAAAAAGTCTTTGTGACATGGCTGTTTCCAGGTCTGGATACTAGCTTATCTGATCTGGAAGACTTCGCTCACAGTTGGTGGTGCTCCTGGACCTATTTCTATCATGGGCAGACCAAATAATCTCAGTAGCTTGGTGAGCCCATGGCCAGCTTCAAAGTAGTGTGCCAGTTGTTTCTGCTCCTGGCAAGGTGCAGCCATACACCATGACCTGTCCACAGCTAACTGAACAATGAGTCTGTTCTAACATTATAGATGAGAGATGCTACAGTCCTGTGGCTCTGAAGCTGTATTTAATGCAAACTGGGGACTCAGTTGACCACCAGGCTGTGCACATATCACAGCAATGCTGAAAAGAACTGTACTGGCTGCCTAGTGATTGCCAAGCCACGTTCAAGATCTTGTTGCCAAAATACAAGACCTGAATAACTTCAAATCAGTTTGTTTATCCAGCCTCTTAATTCCTGTTTGGCCTCTGAAGTCTTCACAGAAAGTTGTTATTGGGTTCCTCAGGCCTTCTCAGCAGTGGTATCACCCACTCTTTGGATACTGTTCTCCATGAGATTAAGAGGGCTCCTCTTCAAATGCTTGCTAAAAATGTGTGTGTTTGTGAAGGTCATCACTTCCTCATATTTGCTGCTCTCTTTTTGTATTGAATGTAGAATGCCTTTGGTTGCTTTATTTTATCATCTATATTTTCATAAGTCTTTTTAATAGAGCTTTTTATCTACTTCTAATATGAACTGCTTGGAGATCTCAAAAAATGAATCAGTATACAAAAGTTACCAAGACATACGTACATTAATGCTTACATATTTGGTGTCCATATAACTCTCTTTTTAACTTTGTGAGCAGATGTCCCGCAAAGCATATTTCAATGGAGAAAGCTACATTGCATCCAGTCAGAAAATCTCTGTCTTTCATGGGTTTGAAGGAGGTTTTAATTTCCGAACTTTACAGCCAAATGGACTGCTATTCTATTGTACTGAAGAAGTAAGTATTTTTGTCATTGTTGTTTTAAAAGCATTTCTTATTTTTAAACTCAGCAGAAATATCTTGAAATTTTGTAATGATGGTGGTGGTGGTAGTGTTTAAGAAGTTCATTTTTAAAAAAAAAAGTGTTGGCAGATATCTTTCACGATTAAACATCCTCGGTTGCAATCCAGAGATATTTAGTCACACTTAAGCCCCCATTGAGATTAATAGATCATAAGTTGCAGCATATAATTTGATTTCAAAGAGATTTAAACCACTTTCTAAGGATTGAGGACAAAGTATTTAATTTTGTTTCTAACCTAAGCAGTGAAACCTGAGGTATGTGGGATTTTTGCACACTTGAATGTCTCATATGCAGTTGAAAAGTCAATAGACACAGCAAAAAAAAAGATTTATTTTCTATTGTCTGTTCATTTCTGCAGGACTGATGCACAACAGAAAAATAATTCCTAAAGAAATTATTCTTCTCCACATGTTTTCTCTAAATATTTCTCAAAGAATTACGATTCAAATGTCATAGCACATTTCTTTCCAAATTAGATTCCACAATTGCAAAAAGTACTTCCACACTCAAACATCAACCTTGGATTAACATCCGTGCCTCACATTTGCTCGAACTGTGAAACAAATTAGTTGAAGAAGTTCTTTAAGCTAACTTTTTTTATTCTCCCAGTTGGTAATTCCAACAAAGTAAACCTATTGAATCAATGAATCACCATTTAGCAGGTGGTTCAATAGGTGAACTCAAACTGTAATAGCAATTGGATTTAGGTCTTTATACTTGTTTTACTTTCCTCTTTAAACTATTTATATGTGTTGGCAATTGATCTGAAACTCACTGAAGTAATTGATGTTCCCTTCTAAGGCTAATAGCACTTAAAAGGACTTTCAGTGGTAACATAACTACAGAGGGAACAGTCACAAACTTTCCCACAACCCAGTTCTAGCAGCTGTCCACCACCATCCCCACAATGAATATTCTTAACAATGAAAGGAGATGCCTGGATGCACCCTTATTCAATAAGTTTACTCTGTTTACTGTAGAGGATTAATACTGCAAGAATCTTCACCAAACTTCGTTCCATTGCTTTGTCAATTATCTGTATGTTTTTTCTCGTTTTTCAGTCAGATGTGGTCTCCATTTCCATGGATAAGGGAGCTGTTGTTCTGAATGTCAAAGGTCTCAAAGTTCAGGCAGCAGACAAAACTTACAATGATGGGAAAGCCCATTTTGTCATGACTTCTGTCTCACCGGAAAGGTAACACGATAGTATATATTATAATCCCAATCCACATCTTATTGCACTTCAAGTTCCTTATATTATTTGGAGCTATGTGCTGGAACAGCTAATATTGTATGCTTCTTTTCCCACATTAAGCATAGATTTGGGGGAAAATTCCTGAAAGTGAGAACAGTTGATTTCAGCATAAAGTTTATTGTGATCTTTTATTTAACAATCCTATGAATACAGCACTAGTGTAAAAGATAGAAGAAAAGGACCGACATCACAACATCTAGTAAATGCTGTATTGTCTGCGTGTTATACGTGGCTCACTCAAGCCACACAAAAGTGGAAATGTGGACAGAAGATCAGGGAGTGGGGAGAGGAAAAGACTTTCACATACAATCTTCATGCCCTTTGGCAACTATATTGGATAAAAGCCACACCTGTCTGAAATTATAGAAATCTGCTTTGCTTGCATTGGCCTTACAGTAAGGAAACTGTGACTGACTGACTTCTCAGTATCACCAGAAGCAGGTAGATGCTGGGAATGTTCCACTGTACTACTTGCTTCAGAACTCCCTCATGTGTCCATGGTGCCACCTAGTGAATCATTCAATGAGTTCAACCTCATGAAAACAATCATGCTGCTAGCATTATGTGTGTGTGTTATCATATGCTATCACTGGCTAAAGAAGTAAAAAGTATGGTTTCTCTCTGCAGGCTTGAGCTTATGGTAGATGAAAAAAAGTACAGCAGAAATAATTCAGCAAAAGATAAAACTGAGGAAAAACCTGTGAGCATGAAGAAATTCTACTTTGGTGGCTCTCCCCTCAGTACTGAATTTGCAAACTTCACTGGCTGTATAAGCAATGCCTATTTCACAAGGTAAATGCATTTTAATCCATAGCTATTATTAAAGCAGTATCATTCACAAAGTATAGTTCAAGCAAACCAGTTATTCCACAAGTTCCACCAAGTCTGCTTCAAACCTGAATGTTGTTTCATAGCGATAGGGGAATCCTGGACTCCTCTGACAGCCTTCAGCACCCCATAAAAGGGGACCAGAACACAGAGCCCAGTAGAAGAGGGGGAACCAAAAGCTCCCATATAAATAGCTTCTTCTGTATGGACTAAAACATAACAAATAATCTTTAGGCTGCCACAATGTTTGTATCTTCTTTATTTCTCTTTTGCTTTGGCCTTAAACCAGGGGTCCCCGACCCCAAGTCCACGGCCCAGTTCCAATCCATGGGCTTCGCAGAACTGGGCCATGGAGACAAATCTCCCTCCCCCTTGTACACATGCGCATTTGCTTATGGGCATAGCGTGCTCGCGGGTGGACATGGCGCGCTCGTGCGCGTGCCCCACTCACCCATGAGTGTGCCACACTACCTGTGCATGCGCACAAGCACGCCACGCCCATCCGTGAGTGCACTGTGCCCCCCATGCACGGACCCCACCGGCGTGCCCCACTCACCCATGAGTGTGCCACGCTACCTGTGCATGTGCACAAGCACACCACGCCCATCTGTGAGTGCACTTGCCCCCCACACATGGACCCCACCGCCCCAACCAGTCCGTGGTTCCGAAAAGGTTGGGGACCACTGCCTTAAACCATCAAGGTAAAGAGCCATATGTGGAATCCCAGTCCAGAATGGCACAACCCATTTTACGAAAAATTTGAATCCTTATACTGTATATGGCGCAAAGGAAGTGCACTATCCATATAGAATTCCCCCTTTTTAAAAAAAAACCCCGCAATTCAAAATGTCTTGAGTGAACTGGCAATGAGCAAAATGTAAAATTAATATTGCATTTCACCAATTCTACCCCACCCCACAACTCCTTATCATTTTAATAAGCGCATCAAATGAGGTGTAATGGATGCTGCAAAGCTCCTGAGGAATGGCATCAAATACCGATTCTCTCTTTGGCCCCTTGGCCCAGCAGACTGACTTGTCCAAAGGCTATCCCTGGCCAGAAAGCTGCCCCGTCCAGGGCTTAGCCATTCAAAATTCATTCATTCATTCATTCATTCATTCATTCATTCATTCATTCATTGCAATTATATGTTGCTGAGACTGCAAAGCACTACTCTACATGGTTTACAGTAAGACAACACAAGAAAGCCTCTCTTCAGACAGGCTTTTCTTTATTGACTGGTGGTCTGAGGGGTTTTTTTAAATGGACTGTTGCGCTCTGTTAAAACTGTCATTTTAAATATGTTTCAGTATTGATTTTACTTACTTTTTAATATAATACTTCTTTAATTGTTTCTCAAACTTTTAAATAGTTGTATACTTATTGTTTTAGCTTTTAAATATTGTCTTTTTAATTATGTAGCTGCCTTGGTTCCTTTTTAAGGAGAAAGGCAAGATAGAAATATTTTTAATTAATTAATTAATCCCTAAGTAGCTAAGACAATAGACAGACAGACAAACAAACAAATGTCTCCCACTGCCAATAGAGCCCACTATCCACCAAGCCCACCTACCAAGTGCTGTCACAGCCAAGGGTCTAGCTACATGAAAGTGCCGCCAGTGTCCAAGTGAGCCTACTCCCAGCCAGATGCTATCCCTTCTAGGAAAGCCACATCCCATGACCTAACCACCCAACAGTACTCCCTCTGAGAGACTCCATTGCCTATGCAGGCTGCACCACCCACACCAGACAGTTACCTTCCGAGGCCTAGCCATGGTTCCCCCTGGCCAAGTGGGCCCACTATCCCAACTGCAGATAATTTCCCCCTTTTGCCCATGTGTCCTTCACAGGCCATGCCTACCATCTGCCAGCAGCCACAAGGCTATGACCCTTACAGCCCCCACCTACTGAGCCTGCAAACCACATAGCTGCGGAGAGGCATGTTGGCCGTTCCAATGTGATGAAGGGTGTCCAGGTAGCTGCCTACATCCACTGATGACAATGATGCCTAAGCCACCACTGGCCCTCTTTGCCCTCAAAATGTCAGTGCTGCTTCCAGCATGATTCTGAAGCTGGCATTGCTGCAAACAACAATCATAAGACTTGGTATGCAAAAGCAACTGCATACACTGACTTCTTAACTTGCTGCTGAAATTTATTGCTAATGAACCTCTGTCAGTGTAACGTTATGATTTGATTATAGCTAATATGTCCGGAATGTTAAAGAAAGCCCACAAGTTTTAAAATCACCAAAGTTTTTGATTCACATTCTGCTTGCACTGTGTCTACTCTTGTTTTAGGACTCAAATATGACTGACATTATTGCTCTCATTGTATTTTCATTCAGCTTGGAATATAATATAAATATTTTCATTTTTGTAATAATTTATCAAAGCTTAATCAGCTGTGCATCCTGTAAAATGTGATCTTGGTGACAGTGGAACAGCAAAGGGCTCTGTGTTGCTGTGGATCTGTTAAATGCAGAGCTCACCAAAAATGTTTAATTTTTTGGTGGTCTCTTTTTTTAAGAGAATGAAAAATATATCTCTGTGTAACATAACAGTTGATGGTTAAGAATAACAAAACTGCCTTTTTGTTTTATATAGACTGGATCAAGATGTTGAAGTAGAAGACTTCCAGCGCTACCCTGAGAAAGTCCAAGCATCCCTTTATGGATGCCCTGTTGAGTCTCCTCCAGCTGCCCTCTTCCATAAGAAAAGAAAAAACTCCTCCAGATCCAAAGGGAGCCCGAGTAAAAGGGTTAGCATCACCATCTGGCTGAACATTCAGATACCACTTAGTAGGAACAAACAGCAGGCTTCTATCAGCCATATTCTTTGGAAATGTCTTGCTTTTCTGGATTGCATGCACCCTCCTCTTAAGTTATCTGTCTAAATTATCAAGTCTGAAATATTTTAAGTACTCTAATTTGAAAATAATGCAATTACATTCCACATTAGGACGAAATACACTCTGGATACTTGAGTATAATTTCCTATACAGATCATAAACCCCTTTGATATATGAGAGTATATTTAAAATTGTGTTTATTGGCTGAAATCCTCTTTTGTAGCTGTGCAAGTTGCATAATTTTTCCTGGCAAATTGCCCCAGTTTATAAATCAGCATAGACATGAGTTGCATGCCAAATCGCATAATTCAGTATGCAACAGATAATGTCTACATGATTTCATCTCCAACAGTAATGCTATTTGTGTTGTGCCAGCATAGGTAGAAAAGAGGATTCCAATCATTATTTGTTTTAGTTACACTAAGATTTATTAGTAATTCTACAATTAATAGCATTCCAGATGAAGAGACTGGAAAGAAAAATAGTATCTTAATCTGTATGTCAAGGTTTGAAATTTGGTGTGTATGGTGTGTTAAAATAATTAGGGGGGGTATAGCCCCAAAAATGAAAATGCTCTTAAAATTGAGGCCTCAGTAATAGTTCAGTATAGTCATTCCAAAACCAGTGGCTAGAGCCAGCAAGGCCACTGAACAAAAACAATTCCTTACAGCTGAATGCGTTTATCTTACATTATAATATGTTATAATGAACTTGTTTGTATCATCATGAATTTGTTTATGTTGAAATATATAAAAATTAAGTGGTGTTTGTTTCAGTGATTATAATATTTTGAGGTCACAGTGATCTAGCATTTCAGGATTTTAGAGTGACAATATTCTGGCAATCTAGAATCTTGGTATTAAAAGGTGTTACAAGGGATTTATGCTACAAGAGTCTTATTCTTTTAGGGCAGTATTTTCCAAACTTGGATCCCCAGATGTTCTTGGACAAAAACTCCCAGAAGCTTTCACCATTAGCCATGCTAGCAAGGATTTCTGAGAGCTGTAGTCCACAAACATCTGGGGACCCAAAGAAGGGAACCATTACTCTAGGATCTGCAAAATGTTAGTCAAAACAGTAACATAGTGGCAGCCTGCCACATTTATGGAGTTACAGATTTATGGAGTTATATTATGTGCAAGAACAACACAATTTCCTATTGGAAATTATTACTTGGAGCTCAAGTTCCTTGGATTGCCAGGCCCCTGGATAAAGGTTTGTTTATAGTTGGGAAGGAAAGAGAAATAACTGAATGAATTATAAATATAGGGAGATATACGCACACACATATATCAAATATAAAGCAGGAAAATTAGTAAACTGAAAAGGAAAATGCTAACATAATGGGTATCACTACAAGATAATGTAAAAGTATCTCACAAATAAACCTTCTTGTAGCCTACCTGTAAATGTAACATGATGGCAAGAATCCTATTACTTACATCCACTGGGATTAAATCAAACAGTGTAAACCACTATAAATTGCTGCTGGTTAAATAGTCAAGAATTGTATTTCTTGGCAAGCAAAGTACAAGCACCAACTTCTACAGTTCCAATAACTTGCCACAATGATCTATACCATTTTAACTGAATGCCAGCAGACATAAAAGTAATAGGTTTCTGGCCAACACTGAAAATATCTAAGTGATTTTAGATACTTTAGGGAACAAAAGCAGACTAACTGGTGCCTCAAAAAATAAACAAATAAGGTGGATTCTTTTAAAATAAAAAAAATTATTTGGAGAATATTATAATAGAAAAGGCTGCATGTACCAAAAGGTAAATACTGTAGTTCATGTTGTAGTAAATTATCTTTAACAATGTAACACACTGATTGTTTCAACGTGGAACTGTGCAATTTTGAACTGACAGCTGAACTCCAGTTAACAGTGTAGAGGAGATTAGAGATGTCCTATTGCAATGAATCAGAGCACAGAAACAGAGGATGAAAAAATGGAAGTGATGCAATTCTTCACCAATTTACAAAGATTTAATGCATTGCTTTCTTTGTATGAAGGTTGGAAAAGACAATGAAGGGTCTTCAAAGTTTCCATCAAACAATAAAGCAACAGATGAAGAACTAATCGCTCAAGGAGACCCACGTTGCCACTTAGCCAACAACCCCAAAGCAATTGAACATACATACCTGTATGGAGGAACAGCAAATAGCCGGCAAGAATATGACTACATACCAAAGGATTTCAACGAAAGGTACAGTGAGCTAGTGATTCTCACTATGCTTTTTTAAAATTTTCCTTGCCCTGTACCAGGCAGGTGTGATTAATTTTGTTCACATATTAAAATTCTATTTTTGTTTGATAGATCGCAGTTCTCCATTACTCTGAAGACTCATTCATCCCATGGAATGATCTTCTATATCTCTGATCCAAAGGAGGAACATTTCATGGCTCTCTTTATTGCCCATGCACGGCTAATTTTTATGTTTAATAATGGCCACCAGAAACTAAGAATTAGAACCCAAGAGAAGTACAATGATGGCCAGTGGCATAATGTAAGTTGGATGTGGTGGGAAGAATCATGGTCTGCCTCAGAAAACCACTTTAGCTGAAAAAGAAAAAGAAAAACCTCACCATAGTTATTTGATTGTCTCTAGACTGAAAGTTTTACTGTGAGCTTTATCACAATTTATTCTCAGCAATCCTGCTGAGGAAGAAGAGGAGTTTGCATCCATCCATCCATCCATCCATCCATCCACCCACCCACCCACCCACACACACACACACACACACACACACACACACCTTTCTTTCCCTCACCCTCACACACACACACACACTTATCAAACCATACAACTGTTTGGGGAAATTAATACAACCATAGAAATGGTTTTAGACAAGGTCACCGTGTTTGTCTGTGCTAGCAGGTCAAAAACAAAATAAAAATAAAGAAGACAAAATGTTGTGACACCTTAAAGACCAACTGCTACATTTTAATGTGACGTTTCATGGACAAAGGGGCGTGGTGGTGCTGCAGGTTAAAATCACAGAAGCCTCTGTGCTGCAAGGTCTGAAGACCAGCAGTCGTAAGATCAAATTCACGAGATGGAGTGAGCTCCCGTCACTTGTCCCAGCTCCCGCCAACCTAGAAATTTGAAAGCATATAGAAATGTGAGTAGGTAAATAGGTATCACCACGGTGGGAAAGTAATGGCATTCCGTGTCTAGTCACGCTGGTCACGTGACCACATAAACTGTCTACAGACAAACGCTGGTTCTACGGTTTGGAAACAAGGATGAGTCGGACACGACTGTATTAAATGTCAAGCAGAACCTTTACATTTACCTTCATGGACAAGTCCACTTGTTCAGGTAAGTGACAGGCCTGCCAGTATTTCATTGAAAGTTTAGAGGTATTTTATAAATGATGATCAGCCTCTTATATTTTAAGTGGGCAGATGCAAAATTATCAGCACTATTGGATAAATACAGACGTCTTTGCTGGGATCACTGTGCTACATATCTGTGCTTTCTATTCTAAGTTTTTCTGAGGTTGCTGTTTTGGGTTGTTTTGTTTTTTCCTTAGGTAATGTTTGTTCGTGAGAAAAATATTGGCCGTCTGATAATTGATGGTCTTCGAGTGCTAGAAGACAGTCTTCCTTCTATTGATAATGCATGGCAGGTTACTACCCCTTTTTATGTTGGGGGCGTGGCACCAGGAAAAGCAGCTAAAAATATCCAGGTAAAAATATTTTTCCACAATAAAGCTTGACTAAATATATTTATCAAGAAGCTAACCAAAAAAATCGACCTAAGACAGAGTGAATCAGCATACTATTGGATACTTTGCCACCCATTTCAGATAATGCTAAAGAGGAAAACAAGAATCCTTATTTGGAGACATTCTGTCCAGCACAACGTATCTTGGTCAGCTTTGCAATTAAGGAAGCTGCATTCTGCATTTGAATATGTTGTTAGTATGTAGTTGAGTAGCCATGTCACTAGTATACTCCAGCTTCTGGAAAAAAATGAGTATAAAAATCACACTGGGTGTCTTCAAGCAGAGCTGGACAGAAATCTTTGGTCATACTTTAGTTCTAGCCTTCCAAAAGCAGGGCTTTTGAAGATCTATTGAACCCTCCCTAAGTCTGGGAATAAAAACAAATACCTAATAAAACACCATGAGAATCACTCAGATAAGACTGTAAATGCCTTCTCTTTTTTTGGACCATCCATTTCTTTAACTAAGATGGAGGGCTATATCCACAGGATTTATAAATAATTGCATACTTAAATCAAACTAAAGGATGTAAACATTTGTACTTTCCTCATGCAACCATTTGTCCTCATTTTATTTTTGCAGATCAATTCCGTCTACAGTTTCAATGGTTGCCTTGGCAGTTTGCAGCTCAATGGAAGACCAGTCACTTCTCCATCACAGACGTTTAGTGTAACTCCTTGTTTTGAAGGACCATCAGAAGAAGGAACATATTTTTCATCAGAAGGAGGATATATTGTTCTTGGTATCCTGCCCTTAATTACTGACTATTATGACTATCACAGTAATGATTGTGTTGATATCACAGGTTGCTCATCTTTGCATTAGCCCCAAAATGCCATAAAGCTTTGACTTTGCTGTCACAGAGGAGCTCTCACTAAATACATATGGACTTAATAGACTAATAAATCGATTAAAATTCTAATGCAATGGTGGGATTTTAGAGTGGTGACAGAAGTTGTGCTTGACAGATACTCTCCTAAAAACTTACCAAAATGGAACTTAATAATCTTCCATGGTCTGATAGGATACATAACATGAACTGAAGCAATATATTCAAAACCAGAAGAGGAAGACAATTTCTTGTTCTCAGCAATTTGCTGGGTGTTGCCATGCTGGGACTACTCACTGAGATTTCTCCCATACCAGTGAGATTTCCCAAATTCCCACAAAAACAAAACACATAGTCTGAGAGGGCAATCAGATGGGCATATAGATCACTATGTGGTTTGCTTTTGGTGAGTTTGCCCTATTCTTCAGCAACCATCTGTGTTTCCAATAAGATAAATCCATCCTGCCCCTTTTATAAGCTGTCTTGTTCGCATCTGGCAGAGCACAAGGGCTGCAGTTAATTTGGTATGATTTTGAGCAGTCCAGATCATCCTATTCTACAGTCTGTGTGGTTGTTTAATTCACTTCCAAGTAGACCCATTCTCTTCCGTGACAACCCTGTGATGTATTCAGTGGGTTGTGACATTAAAAGGGACAACAGAGCCTCTATTTTCATCATTTTAAAATATTTCCCAAACTGACAAAGCACATTTCTAACACATTGCAGGTGTCTTTTGACACAATATTTATACCATGCTAGTTTAGTGTATTGCTACCGTGCTATGTCACTTTCTTTATTTAACAACAACAACAAAAAGAGCTGAAGTCATTGTAGCTTATGGAATAATGGCTGTGAAAAAAGATGGAGGAGAGGGAGGGGATGGGATGTCAGTAATCAAAAAGGGAGACAACCTGAAGAGCTATCTGGATTATTTTCATGGGAGAAGAAACATCTCCTGCATGAATGGAAGAATCGCCTAAGTATGAGATAAAACAGATCACGATAAAACAAAATGTTTTACATGTGAACTGGATCGCTCCAACTCCCCCCAGCTGGACAACCCTCATTCCATATCCCATGACTTTCCTTTAAATCCTATGCAATTCAATGTTCTTTCCAAGGAAAGATGCCACTTTGTGCAAAAATGGGAAGAATTGTGCACAAACTGGTGTTTCTTCAGGGGGGGATAGGGATCATTAAACATTTGAGAAATCCTGCAAGATTCCTTACAAGACATCTCAAGAAGCAAAGAGAAACACTGTTCCCAGAAAAATCTTACCACAAAAAGAAAAAAGCATTCCCCCTCCCCTCTGTTTCTCATGGAGATTCACATCCTTGCTCCAAAGAACAATAATTCCTTCAGTTACCAAAATGATTTTTTTTTTACATTTTCAAAATGAAAACTGTTTAAAAATGTATACATAATTGGAAGACATAGTTAGCTCTTCAAGTCATGGAACTAACTAACTAGTACTGTGATTAACTATTCTCTGGCTTCTCATGATTTTTCCCCTGCAGATGAATCCTTCAGTTTGGGTTTGAGATTTGAAGTTGTTTTTGAAATCCGTCCTCGGAGTAGTTCAGGAATCCTAATGCATGCACACAGTGTAAATGGAGAATTCCTGAATATACACATGAAACAAGGACAGGTATATGGGAGGACCAATAATTTCCTTTACATTTTTATGTGCAGACCTGAATATTCTTCTTTTTCGGTCATGTGTTCTTAACAATAACAGGTTTTTGTTTATAAAATAAATCCACATATGCAGAAAAGACAAAATATACCTTAATTATAGTTCTTCCCTTTAAAGTGCAACAAGAGTCTATAGTCAAAAAGCATCAAAACACTTCCATTATAACCTCAATAAAATATGTCAAGGGAAAAGGAAAGAATGCTAACAATTTTGCACTGCTGCTTTATCAAAATTTTAAAATAGTATAAATGCTACAAAAGGGCTGCAGGTTAGGTAACTTTCCTCCACTTTCAGATAAAATTATTATTGATTTCTACTACACAGCAAAGCAAGAGTGTGAGTTCTTGCATAATATGTGGGCAAGTGAGTAAAAACTCAGAGATCTCAAGAACAGACAAAGGCCAAAAGCTTTGGCAAGAACATTTGTCCTAAAAATCCTTAATGCAATGCAGAAAGTCAATACAGACATCTGTGCCAGTGCACTATATACAGTACCTAAGAGTATGATCTTGGAATTCCTAGTTCAATTTGCACTTTAGCAACAACAAAATCACTATAAGGCCAGAGGCAAATTACTTTTCTTGCAAGTTGGGGCTGCAGCTTGGAGAAGATTAT